TCCATGTGTTCTCATTGTTCAACACCTGCCTATGAGTGAGAACATGCGGTGTTTGATCTTCTGCTCTTCTGTCAGTTTGCTGAGAATGATGGTTTCCAGGTTCATCCATGTCCCTACAAAGGACACAAACTCATCGTTTTTGATGGCTGCATAATATTCCATGGTGTATATGTGCCACATTTTCCCTATCCAGTCTATCGTCGATGGGCATTTGGGTTGGTTCCAGGTCTTTGCTATTGTAAACAGTGCTGCAATGAACATTCGTGTGCACGTGTCCTTATAGTAGAACGATTTGTAATCCTTTGGATATATACCCAGTAATGGGATTGCTGGGTCAAATGGAATTTCTATTTCTATGTCCTTGAGGAATCGCCACACTGTCTTCCACAATGGTTGAACTAATTTACACTCCCACCAACAGTGTAAAAGTGTTCCTATTTCTCCACATCCTCTCCAGCATCTGTTGTCTCCAGATTTTTTAATGATCGCCATTCTAACTGGTATGAGATGGTCTCTCAATGTAGTTTTGATTTGCATTTCTCTGATGACCAGTGATGATGAGCATTTTTTCATGTTTTTTGGCCTCACGTATGTATTTTTAAACACCAGCTTTTAGAGTTTTCGCACAGCCTTGAGTTTTATGGCAATATCAAATACTATGACAAGAATATAAGAAAGACAACTCAAAACAGAAAAAATTTTCCAGATGTTTTACATATAAGAGCACCATTGAAGATTTGGGCAGTGTTCTTTAGAGATTACAAAATATTTTCACATAGTCTTTAATCCTTTTAACAACCTCATAGGTGGATAAATGAGAGGACTGAGATAGAATCATCTGCTTGCTCCCATCTACAGGATATAGCAGTAGGATACTGTATCTTGATGGAATTTAGCTTGCCATAAGTATTATATATGCAGTCAGGATGTCATATTTATTTACTTATATGCCAGCTTTTAAAACAAAAAGACACATGAAACAAAATCAGTATAACAGCATCATAAAAATAAATTATGGACTAGAAAGAAATAGAGATCTGCTAATTCGAAGGATTAGGATTATTATAACTCCATATCAAATGAAGTTATTTGCTCCCTGGAATCCAAGTCAAAAGGGGAAATGTAATGAATGGGTCCTTTGGTTTTGTCGTCAAGAAGAACAGGCATTGGTAAGGAGTATCATCATTTTCCATATTGTTGGCACTAAGTTTTGAAAAGTCTTTCTCACACATTTTATGGAATAGATACTGAATATTGAAATGAACAATAGGTTCAGGGGCTGTTATTTTCCAAGAAAAACCTACTTGAATCACAGACATCCCTATTGTGATTTCCAGGTAGGGACACTGTAAGGGTTTGTTCCTTTGCCATCTTACTAGACCTTCGTCTTTCTTTTCTTGCATGTCTGTGGGAGATCTCACCTGTAATTATTTGTTGGCTACATTCCCGCCTCCCTACTACTCATGCAGACTTTTGCCTTTTCTGTCTTCTCAGTTGTCTCTTTCACTCTTCTCAGTGCCTTCAAGATACCAGGATTGCATGACTCCTGCCACTGTTTGGGGGCTGCCCACGTGGTTGTGCTGACCTACACTTGAACCCAAAGTACGCTTAGGTGGTGAGTCTCCCCATTTGGAGTCACATTGTCCCATTTCCTTCTATTCTGGCCAATATGTTCTTGTTCTTCTGGCCTGCTTTTGTAGGAGGAGGACCCACAGGATTGTGGCTGATCTCTCTTCAGCTTTACTGATGCTATGGCACCTGCCCAAGCCTTGGGCTTCATATACCTCAGCAGGTCTGACATATTTCTCAAATATAGCCATTCTCTCAGGAATTCAGCTTTCTCTACCTCGTGCCTCACAGTCAATCCAATATGTCTGTACAAAATTGAACCTCACTGTGAAAATGCTTAAAGTGTATTCGAGGCTCTTTTGAACTAAAGAGAGGAGGGGGTATGGCTTGACAGTAGAGTTTCTATAACTTAACATGCCAGCATACTTGAGACTCAGCTCTGATCCAGTTGGGATCTCATTGCAAAAGGAAGCAGAGGTGGATTTCAAATACTATTTCGTGTAACAACCTCC